CGTTCCTGCAAACACCTTCCTTTTGCTCCGAGTGCATCCAAAGCGCACGGAGTCGTAAAAGCGAGCAGATCTGCAAAAATAATCCAGAAAATTTTTTTATTAAATCCACACACATAGTTGTAATCTTTGTAATATTTTATTTATTGATTGCTAAGTGTGTAATTAGAGAGTAATTAATGATTTTTTTTTTATTTTTGTTTTTTTGCAAATAGCATTTCGATTTTAATAAAAACACAAAGTAAAACCGAAATATTTGATCCGTTCGCGCTAAAAGAATTCGATCCCTCGTATCACTCTATATCGATCGCGAATCCTTCTCGCATGTACATACCGGCGCATCGCACTTCAGTGCACATTAGGCCACAACGGGGAGTGACGTGAGAAGTCCAGGAGGATTGTGCGGCTTGCGCTGGCGTGCGCTTATATGCGTGTGCGTGCATCAGCATCTGTATTCGCGCACGCGTGTGTAATAATGTGCGCGCTAGAAACGTGGAAGAGAGCTAACTACATGGAGAGGCGAGGTTTCGCGCGAATCGATGGCTAATAGCCTTCCCGCTGTAATTAATGCAACAAGTTGATACCTAACACTTATCTACGGTACGGTACGTTGCCGCGCGGCTTTAACGGTTAACCCACGACGAGTTTCCGAACGAGTATAACGTGTGTATGTAGCCCACGATACACAATGACATAGAAATAAGGGGTGACGCAACCCCTCGCGCCACAAGCGATTTATCAAATTGTTTTATCTTCCCCTTCTAAGTGGGCGTCTCTTTCTCTCTTTCCGTTGATAGTGCGGCAGATAGAACGTCACTGCCAGGAGAGTAAAATGGAGGGACGAGAACAAAGAGAGAGAGAGAGAGAGAGAGAGAGAGAGAGAGAGAGAAAGAAAGAACGAGAGAAGAGAGGGAAAACAGCGGAAGGTGTTCGCGGAAGTACGCGGAAAACGAATATGTTTTTTGCAAACTCAATAAAAAACGGATGCGCTTTCTTGCTCTCTCTTTCTGGCACTCTCGTCTATCTCTGCTCGATTTTCGCCTCTCTCGTGATTTTTTTTTTTTTTTTTCCCAACTCTGCACAGAATTGGAAAATATTCACCACGGTATTTCGACACGGGCTTCCCCCTCGTAGCATAGTTATGGCTGCGCGCTTTAATTGATATTACATATCGCGCGCGTTGAAATTTACCGGCGATAACTGCTCGTTTATTCGACACATGTGTATACACGTCCGATGGCATACCGACTAGCGCACGTCGAAATTGCGTGATTGAAACGAAAAAAAAAGTGATGCCGGAAAAAACTTAATAATTCGCTGCTTCTCAAACGTCTTAAGAAATTGTCGCGAATATATCGCAAATTGTCGTTTTTATTCGCAAACACGCGAAACACATACAAGTATCATTATTTTTGCTCTTAAACGTAATAATTGCATTCAGCGAATAAATCAATTTTTTGTATCTCCTTAGAAACGATAATCATCGATATCTTGAAAAAATTTATTTAATCGATTCGATAATATCGGTTGTTATCGCGACTTCCATATGCAACGTTCGGAAACTTAAAATAGAGCGTACACACGCATCGGTGTGTAGTGAGATAATTTAATTTCCTACTGATTGATCATTTCGTTTATATTTGATGTAATTATAATTTCTATTATATTGTGAAACACATTTGTTTTCAATCTATAAATATAATATGTATAGTATTGGGAAACAAAATTTTAAAAGAACAATGTGCTGGATTTGATTTACGTGTCTGTTATCACATTTATATATGTAAATAGAGAAACACGATTACACACATAATAATATGTTAATAATAAAAAGTATTGACACGTAATCAAAATGCTCGAACAATTATAAAAAAAACGTTCGTTTGAGAAGAGTTTATTTGCGCGACGCCTACTTGAGTAGGCTCTCTTGAAAACGCGCCAGGTCGCGAAGGGATTAAATATGCGGCTAAAAGTTCCCGGAGAAGTCCGCGTTGCGGCCCTTTTATTGCGCGGATACCGGCAAAGAGGATTTCGAAACACCTATAGACCCGGAGGTCTAACGCCGGATTTGGCATCCCTTGCCGTCGCTGTCGCCCTTATCCAGGCACGGGCATAAAAGCGCCAATTCAACCCCCGCCGCAACCCCAAAACTCCGAACACACAATTAGCCAGTCGGTGTACACTCGCGGACGCCATGGCCAATTCTTAAGGACCTTCCATCGGGCATTAAATGCAAGCTCCCTTTTGGGGATGGTCTGAAAGAAACGAGGGGGAAGATCAGAGGAAAACAGAGAGTCAGATAGGACGGTCGGTCTCAACCACCGTAAATGGGACTTTGCTCAAACTTTCTGGCAAAGACCCGCTCGCTCGCTTTTACACATGCGAGTGCACCTGCGACCGTGTCCACAGTGGGCGGAGAACATCGCGATAAGTTGAGGGAAAAGTGCACCGGGAAAAGTAACGAGGGACGGGTCATCGTATAATTACCGTTAATTGAATTCTTAGTAACGTTCGCTCGATCTAACACCTAGATGTGCAATCTAGAACCTGCGAGTTCTCACATTGTTGTAAATGATGTAGAATGTTTGCACTTCTCAGCTAGTATATACTAGCAATCTAGTTCTATATACTAGAATCTAGTTTACAAATTTACTATAAAATATGTCAAACAAAATCGCAGCGCGAAAATTAGCTTTTTTGCATAAAATATTTTATCTAAAGCTTTGTATAAAAAAATTTTATTAAAATTAGATCTGAATACTTGTAGGTATTTGTAGTGTGTATTTGAAACTAAATTGATCAGAAAAAGCGCGTGTTTAAAAGTGCGTTTCGGCGTGCTTTCTCGAACGAATTCGTGCTCTCTCACTGTGCTTCATCCGCATTAACATGCACGTGTGTAAATTGCACGTTCAGTTGCGTGCGCGTTGGATTAGGTCTCTGGCATTGTTCGCACTTAAGTAATGGGTATTCATCGCGAGTAATACGCATGGAGAGAGAGAAAGAGGGATAGAAAGAGAGAGAGAGAGAGAGAGAGAGAGAGAGGGCGAGATTGTGTATGTATGTGCCTGTAATTTGTGGTATGGCAACTGAAGAGGTTGCACACATTATTGAGTTTATCGCTCGTTCCTAATAATCGAAAATCGAAACTACTAGGCCACCGAATCGCTTCTAGCGAATCCTGAATAAATCGTATGAACAGAGTTCGATGCAATTGAATATAATTAATTTAATTAATACATAGTTTGCACGTCGTAATCTCTTTGTGCAATTCTAAAGTTTCTTATATAAATAAGTGAAGCTAAGCTCAAAAGAAAAAATATAATTTTCATGCAATACACGTTCGGACGTTACGCGTGTCCGTAATAGCGCGGAAGCAAAGGTAACACAGCAGTGGCCTTGGAGGTTCGGACACTAAAGTCCATAATTCATTTTGCTAAACGGAGACGCATTTCTGTTATCACATGTGTGGTACGCTTAAAAACAATATTAAAAATTTAGGAACTGCGTCGAATATTTAAATTAAACGTCAAAAATCCCGCTGAACTTTTAAAAATTCCGTCTGATGACGCGCACTTAGAAATTCGATATTAAAATCCATAATTCATTTTGCCGGATACTCTTTTTCGTCTGAAAGTGTTACTTTGCATGAACGACGCGTATAGAGGGGTTTTAACTGTGCTTGGTACGGGAGGAAGGGGGGGTTGAATCATCGAAATCCAGCGCGAGCTTGTCAATAGAGAATGTAAAATATTACGCTTCCCCTTTGCGCGGGGAGTATTAATATTGTTCGCGGGTCGTTGCACCGGGGTAACAAAAGCTCGCGTCTACGTGGCTGCATGAAAATACCCGCTTGTGCAAAAAATGATTTTCGAGTCCGCCGCTGCGTCGGGACGGGTCACATATGTACGTGTGTGCACCTCGCGTACATATCTCGCTCGCGCGCGCAAACATTTTGCTTCTCGAATTCTTACTTCGGTTGCAACGGCGACGGTGGTTGCAATCTCATCGGGAGTCAGTTTACGACGCCCGTGTCCGCGGCGGTGGCTCGGTTCTCGGCGTCGCATCGCGCATTTCGTTTCGCGAATGTCAGAGGTAACGTTCCTGGAAGTCGGTCTTCCCTTGCAGGAAGTTCGCGAGACGATGCGACGCGACGGCGACCATGGAAATAAGGTCGGAATGGAAGCCAGCGGATGGTGGGTCCTTTGAGGAAACGGTAGGAAACGAGAGGCGGGGTGAGGCGGACGGGGAGCGAGAAAAATAAAAGCGTCGCAGAGTGCACTTTTGCCGTTTGATCGGAACGCGCGGTGTATAACGTTAATTAAAAAGCGAGAAGATAAAGGGCAACGTAAAGGGCAAAATGTACGTTTGTTGAAGTCACAATTGAGGTTGTTGGTGTCGAGAGGTTTAGATATTAAACAGTAATACTTTAAAAAGAGTAAAAATATAAAATAGATCACAAAGATACGCATATTTGTACTTCGAAATCGGAGGGAGGAGATTAAAACGTTTTGCGCATCGATTTTCTGTTATATCTTTTTTTAAAACAAATTTGTCGTCACGAATCTCGGAAAATGTTACGCGAATTTAAAATTCCGCATAAATTTGGACAAAAAAAGCCAGAGAGAAGACGTATCTAGATCATACAATTTTATTCTCGAAGGAATACCCACCGAGAGATACGACCTCTCCATGTCTCTCTTCTCTTACATTACTTTCGCGAAGGAATCCTGTCGATCTCACACCGTTACCAGAGAGGAGAGATACTCGAGTAACCGTGCGAGCTCGGAGTCTCATAAAACCGCCGTGTCCAATCCCTGTAGCGTTCTACTCTTTCCGTCCGCCTAATCGATCTAATCGATCGTAAAAACGTCACTTTTCGCGGAAACGTTTTTGTTTGCACCTTGCACAAAAAAGTCATGTAATTATCACATCGAACAGAATTTTATGACCGCCGTTGATCGATTTAAATTAATATGTGTGTATTTGTTTTTTTTTTGTTTCAGGTAAGGCCATGTTTACTAGACAATCGAAGATGTAAATGGCCTTCCCAAAAGATCCGAAAACAGGTAAAGCTAGTAATTAAAGCAACAGAATTAAAAATATTTTATTTATTCTGTTATCAAAAATATAAAACAAAAAATAACAATAATCTAATGTATGTGCGCAATGTGTTGAAGCGCAAATTTTTTTCAAAACTCTGCACGTTGTCGAAATTTCTCGTGTTTGCAATCATCAGGATTTTTTCCCCGGTCGTACGGTATGGGTAACAGTGAAGTCATTTAGGAGGGTCGATCGAGAGCGCGGCAAAATTGAAAATTGCCATAATGCAGCGGCAGTTATGGTAATGCCCCGTAATATCGGTGCGCGCGCGGTCATAGGGCGTGATTTGAAAGGGGATTTTTATACTGAATTTCACCACCTATCCACGTAAGTCTCGCGCGCGGAGTAGTATCGAACAGGTACTCAATTATCTAGAAGGGGAGTAGCATGGTAATTCGCGCGGACCCTTCCTCCGCAACTTGCTCCCCGCTTATGATCGATTACTGTAATCATTAGCGCTCGTAATCACTCGATAAGGTCTCAGATCGATTTGTTTCTTTATTTTCGTCCGATTATTCGTAGTGACATATAAATGTATTCAGTTTTGATTTCATTTACTTCAATGTGAAACTAGAATTATTTAAAATAAAACACGATTTTTTTAATTTTTTTATTTTTCACGATTTTTCGTGTTTTATTTTGCGCAAAAGTTTGCAGATTGTGATTATCAACAATTATCAGAGAGATTATTCGAAAATGCCTAACTGCTCTCAAACGACGCTTCTTCTCTTCCGTGTACGTTCTGCATTTCAGTAAAATCATCAACGTCTCTGACGCGGGTTTAATCCGGCAGCGGCGATTAATTGTGCTGTGCGAACCGCGCGATCTTAGTGTCTTACTAGCGCGAGTGCATCAATCACGTTCCCGCGGTGCCGTTATTACGGGGCGAACCGGAGATAACTTATCACGTCTAATATCATCGATCTAGAGAGACGCACCCGTGCCGTTTTGCATTTCGATTATGCGCTGCGCGCACGCCGACCGGATCTCGGGCCGCGGACTGCAGCACCACCGGCTTTGCGGCCCTTACGGTAGACGTTGATTCATGTTGTTACATTTGAGATGCGCCGAGCGAGAAAGAGAGAGAGACGAGCGCGAGAAACCATGGCACGCACAGTCGCGACTAATTGAAATCTACGACTTTGAACTTTGGCGTCGCCGGAACGAGAAATAGGTGCGAGGCGACGCGAGAGAACCGCGACATATTCCAGTTTTTGATGTGCACTAAAAATATCGCTTAATTGCGATTCTGCATTTAGCGAACAGTAATGCGACTAATTTCCTAATTTGTTATTAACGAGAAAGCGATAAAGTTTGATAATAACGCTAAAAAATAGTCTGTAAATATTTCGTAAGCACAATTAGAGTAATTAAAAATCTGATAAGAAAATATAAAGAAATGTTATCTGAAAAAGACGGTTTAAAACGCGTTCGATCAGTCACGTGATTGTTAATTTCTTATTGGCGCACAACCATATATCTTAGTGATCTATAGAAGAAATAGCTCACTTCATCGACAATTCGGAACATCCGTCAATCATCTCGATTTCCGCTGAATTTAGTTTTTGCTAGTTGTTATGTCCGTCATAGAACTAAAGTTCGCTGTCGAAGCGCCGTTAACTGATAATCGATTTTACTGATCGATTTTATTGACGAACTTTAATTGCACTACGTAAACGTACGTTGTCTTTTTTGGAATCGCAACAATTTGCGCTGTTGTAAAATTATTACAAAACAATTTTTCGGCTACGTTTTTCGAAAGATTGATCAATCATAAAGTAAATCAATTAAGTTCAAAAGATTTCGGCTCGATTGTAGCCTTCATACGCCGTCTACGTAAAATATTGTGAAAAATGTCTCAAGAGCCGAGTACTTCGGTTAGCCAATAATACTGCGCATATATCTACGTGTGCGTCAGAGGTGTAGGTGCAACCAACATGGTGGAGCGTCATCATTCAGCGTTTATGTCCCGGCTGGATCGCGCCTGTGTTAGATGATTGGGCTTTTCAAGCACGTACTAACTTAGCATCATGCGCGGTCGCTCGGGCATTTTTCGACTATAGAGAACGTGAACCAGGGGAATAAAACACAGGACGAGCTTGATTTACGAGCCGAAGAGGGAGGGGTCTCGACTCAGAAAAGTGAAAGTATTTTTTTCACGAGCACTGATATTTTTATCTCCCGGTAACTTAATATTAGAGGTGACAGGTATAAGAAAATTGCAGAACGTAGAACATGAAAGAGAAAGAGAAGAGAGAAAGATAGAGAGAGGGACAGCTAGATAGAGGTAATATCGTGAGTGTATCAGATATAATTTCGTATTCAGGACATGATTAAGTGGAATAATTTGAATAAGATTGAATATGCGAGAAAAATAAACACGGCGCATCAAACGCCATCACGTACGCGCGAGGGATAGGTATAGTTAAGACGCACTTCGCTGCGCAATCTCACCGCGGCTTTCATGTGTGCAGTTTCCCGCGAATTCTTTCGGTATTTCACGCAAAATATCACCTGACCACATGAAAAAAAAAAATCAACTTATTGACCGCGTCCGGGTCTATCACGCGTCCAATTCTCTTACGTAAGACTTACCGTCTGCATTCGATTAGCGGATGATGTTACGCTCGCCGTGCACACTCTCGAAATTCTCGTCGTTATTCGCGCGAAATATGATCTTGCGAAATATTTGCTACTCCTTATACTCGTAAATCACAGGTTGAGAGATACGTTTTGTCGCCCGAGTCGTAATCGCGCGAGTGGTGATTTTCAAAACGAAACGGTATGGATGTATTTTTTGTCGAACGGCTTCACAGCGCGCGAGTTCCCGTCTCGATAGCATTCCTCGCGGTAGATCGATACGTAGCGCGAGGCCCGAAGCCAAACCGTATACACCGTACGGTATAAAACACAAGGTTAGCCTTGCATACGCGTATGCGCGCATCGACATTTATGAATACACACGAACGCGTCACGTATATGTAGATTTCTAACGGCGGACAATCAAACGCGTAGTGTGCACGTGGTGTCGATATTACTTCGCATACGGAATCCATGTTATCGCGTTTATGCACACACACACATACACACACACACACGTACACGTGGAAACGGGAAAGGGTGGAGACTCCAAGTACGAGATACGCGTTAAGGTATCTCCTTCCTAACGGGCTCTGCGCGTTGGAACATTCAACGAATGCACGGATGCATGTAGGTAGAGACGCGTCCGCTCGCGTGCATAAGGCGCGGGTGCACGCGCACATCCGTGTTTGTGTGTGTGTGTCCGCACGCACACGGACGATGACACGTACGAAAACTACGAACTACCGACAGACGTTCCACGCCACCGCCAGCGACGCCCACTCTCCTAAAGTTGCCAAGACCTCTGACAATGAGTCTCGGCTCGACAGCGGCTCTCATTCGGCCGCCGAGTGGCAACAAAGCGAATCTTGGTAGAACCGATGATCCGAGAACGGAAGCCACCTAGAGCGGTCTGAACGCGGTGGAAATGAGGTCGGATGCCGGTCTTCTCGGCGCGCGGCGAACAAAAACTGAGGCATTTCCTACCTCCGCGCTTCAATGTGGTCGATGTATCTACCGTGACTTAGACCTAATTCCGCTGGCTGCTGTGAATCAATTCAATTTCTGAGAACAATTTCCGAAGTACGAATTATCTGATACAAAATTTCATTTGTAAGATCTCGCGGATAATTCTAATAGCAAACGAAGTGTGTGTTTTTTGTTTTTCATTGGACGGCGCATTGCGAACTTTGTAATTTTTACATTTCTCAATATATTACGTTTTATATAAAAATATGAAAGCACACACACACACACACACAACACTTTCGTAAAACTATTAAATTCGAATATATAATGTGTAATTCTCCGTGAAGAAAAAAAAACAAAAAACGCCCAGAAATTCTAAGAAAACCCGAGCGATCCATCATCGAGAGTGCCATTGCGCGAAAGTATTCGTTGGATGCAATTTTATGTAGCTCTCTCGGCTGCTATGATTTCTTACGATATTACTGCGCGCTGTATACGCTCGCAAAGGTTGGCACACGCGCCACTTCTCGACGCTAAGGGCTATTTTCATGACGAGGGTTGGGGACGCGACACCAGAAACATCGTACCCTTTCGGACCATATTACGGCGCATAGCCTGTATACCCTATATTACGCTTAATCGCCTCCATTATTTACGGGGGCTGCAGAATGCAGCCGAGGCGCCGTGTCTGCGCGATAGTCTCCGCTCGGAATCTTTTCCCTTGTGTGCGCGCCGGTTTATACCGGTATTTTGTTTTCCGCCGCGTTTTCCAAGAAGAATCGAATTCGCCAGCGAAACATTAATGTAACAAAATACCGGCGTATTTATTTATGTAAAAAACGAGCCTTTTGTTCCTATCAATTATTGGCAAAATCTGCCGCTGATAAAATCGAAACCCGCGTCATTAATCTCGGGAACGCGAACGCACATTTTGAACTCGCGTATAAAACTGATATCTGTATTTATATATTTTTAGAGAGAGAGAGAAAGAACGTGAATTTGATAAATTCAAATTTGATTAAGATAATTTCTTTCATATTCTCAATTACGTTCAAGCAATATTATTTTAATATTTTTTATAAGCATATAATCAAGCAATTTAGATAATTTACACAATTTATATCCCTAACAAAAATGATTGAGACTGCCATTATAAAGTAACAGCCAGAGACAACCGTATATTGTATATCATTCACATACAAAGAGAACACATTACACGAACACGATATGCTATTTTCTTTGAGAAACGACAATCGACGACGAGGAAGTCGCTCGAGGAAGACAATGAGGGACTCGCCCCTCGAGAGACCGCACGGTTCTATTTCGGGGCGGTTTCAACGTACACGTACGTGAGAGACGCGAGGGAACGCCTCCCCTAAGAAGTCAATTATTTTGCCGCGCGTGCACGGATCGGCGC